CTCAGTAGTGATGATTTTAGCATTCACTTGCATCCTCTGTGTGCTGTAAAGAATAATTGCCTGGGTTTTTTTTCTCTGCATGTTCTCCTTCCTGGAGCAGCTTCTGCTGTAACATGTCCCCTTTTGAGCCCCACATTTGTGACTCAGGTTCCTTCTTTCCTCCCCTGGTTTGTTGGTGCTGCTTGGGGTGAGTTACAGGAATTATTTACTGAATTSAGAGACACACAAGGGTTCATAATGAACTTCCCCTGGCTGCAGAGGTGAACCAGCTGCACCATCCTGCTGCCCAGCTATTGCWGCTTTCATTGATTTTTCATTCCTGGCAGACTTTTAAAACCTGGTTTTGTCTTCTCAGCTGGTGCTCACTGACCAGCTCAGCTTTGCTCCAGGATTTCAGCTKTGGGAATGAGCCTGCAGTCCCAGCACTGTGAGATTCTGTTCACTTCTCAGTAGAGTTTCAGGTACTTCCCTTGGGCCCCTTGTTGGTGGGAAGGCACAGGGGAAGGACCCCCTGATGCCCAATGCCCCTCAGAGCTCCTCTTAGCCCAGCTGACAGCTCACAGCCTGCCAGATGAAGCTGACTCTGTGACACTGTCACCCAGCAAAGGGACAAAGTCCTCCCGAGCAGGAGCTGTCCCTGCCAGGAGAAGAGAGTCTGAATGACCAGTCTGAGCACACCCCATTCCTCTCCAGCCCTAAGGCCACGCTGCTGTTGGGGTTGGTCAGCCTCTGTCAGAGCCTCCAGGTTCTTCAATCCAGMTTTGTGCTGCCATCCCCTTCTCTTCTCCTCGGGGAAATGTTGCCCATTTCTTTGAAGCCTCAGGGCCAATGTTTTTTCAGCTCCTTTTTGCTGTTGATTTTTTTTCAATTGGTCTCCCAGCCTGAAAATCCTGAAGGGAGTGGAGGAACCTGCCAGGAGCCCACGATGCTCTTGGTCCTGTGGTTCAGTTATCRGAAGTGCTGCTGYGTGGAGYAGGGAGTTGGACTYGATGRTCCACATGGGTTACTTCCAACTGGAGCTGTTCTGTGATTCTTTGATTAAACCAAGGGATGGCAGTGTCTGCTTCCAGAAATAACAGTTTGGAGAGATGGGAGCTGCTTGCTAATTCAGGCTGTTGTGTGCTGGCTGTGATCTCCCTGGCAGGGCCATGCAGGGAGGGAGGAAGCAGCCCCTTCCTCTGCCTCCCAGCCCATGCTCACAGGCTGCTGGGGGTCTGCTCATGGGACCAGGCCCCGTTTTCCTTCTGTTGAATCCTTTTGGAGGCAAAGGAGCTAAACCCCATTCTGACCCCCTGATGTGCATTYCTTACCTGTCTGCATCCATTTCATCTGCCACTGGAACCTGCAGGATTCCTCCTGGCATCCTCCTCCCCTCTCCACGGTGAATTCCCTGGTGTTTTGGCACAGGTCCCCTGTAAGCAGTGGGTGACATTGTGTCACCCCAGCACAGGGACAGTGCTGCACAAATGCTCRAAATGCTGCCACCAGTCACCCTTGTCCCCAGGATTTGTGCCACTGTCCTGCTGGAATGCCCCTCTGGCCCTGCTAGCCCCTTTTTGGGTTCTGAAAGGCTGCCCAGCCCATGGGACCCCAGTGTGAGGGGGTGTGGGATGTCACCTGGAAGAGGGTGAAATCCCACAGGTTCATCCCCTGTCCCCAGTGAGCTCAGTGTGCTGTGTCACACAGCCAGGCTGGCACTGCTGGGGRTCTTGGCTGGTGATGGACATGGGGACAATATGCCACACCCCAGGATGGGAGACACCCTGGCTGCTGCAAAGGCTGGAGAAGGCAGGGACTGACCTTAATCCTGCCCTTGCTTTGGGTTCTCCTCAAGGAAGGATGAGCCCAAGACTCTGCTGGGCAGAGTGGGGCCAGGAGGGGAGGTTCTTGCCCTCAGTACTTGCTCCCATACTTCATAGTAGCTACTTGGGATTAACTCTATCCCACCCAAACCCAGCACAGCCCCTCTCTGGGTGTCCTGTAGGTTTTTGGAGAGGATCCTGCCCTGTGAGGCAGGTCCACATTCTCTGTGCTGGTGAAAAGCAACTGCATAGGCCGGGACTGATGTCCAACTGACTGTTTTATGTTTTCATTTCTTCCTTAACCCCATGTCCAGGGAAAAGTGTGTGGATGAGCGGTGTTCAGTCAAAAGGGGAAATAGCTCAAGTGCCAGAGCACTCACTTAGCATGTGACCAGGTAGTGGGATTGGTGGCTGCATTGCTCAGTGTTTTTAGGGTACTGTCCTTGGGCGATGACCCAGTTAGCACCAGGGGAAGTTTACATTGGGTATTATGAAGAATTTCTCATGGAARGGGTTGTCAAGCATTGGAGGGGCTGCCCAGGGAGGTGGTGGAGTCAGCAGCCCTGGAGATGTTCAACAAAGAACTGGATCTGGCACTCAGTGCTCTGGTTTACCTAACAAAGGTGGTGATTGGTCATTGGTTGGACTTGATCTTGGAGGTATCTTCCAGYGTAATGGATTCTGTGATTCTGTGATGATTCTATGAAAAATAAACCTAACCACAGGTGGGCATTGACTTCTTGGAGCTGCCAATACTCATCCTGATGAATTTCCTTTAGGAAGAATCACAACTGAAACCTGTCAAGGAAACTAGAACTCAAGTGAGCTCTTTACTCAAGTTCACTCATCAGGTGGTGTTTGTGATCTGGCTCCATCTTTCCCCTCTTGTTCCCAATTGCCCCAGGAGTTTGGATGGGAAATGGTTTCTTTGGAAGCTGCTTGTGGCTATGGAATACCGGTGACTGGGGAGACCCTCAGCTCCTCAGCCCTGATGATGGCGTGAGAGGTGACGGATTCTTGTGACAGCCCCTGCCTGTGTCAGAGCAGAGCCTCCAACTGGGGACACASACCTGCCCCAGGTACCCCCACACTGCTCCTCTAGCTGGGTTACACCTGAACCTTTCAAGTGTCAGGAGAGTTTAGAACCATCTGTGAATTGTAACACCTGGATTTTTGCCAGGCGATGTCTGGCAGTGGCATTTTTGGAAATATTCATGAAGCTCTGGGGTGCAGGTGAGTGTTATTTGCCTCACACAGCTCAGGGATCGGGTGTCCCTCTGCTCACCTTCCCTACAAACACCACAGGGACACGAGCCACCAACTCTTACTGAAATGTTTATTAAGATCGAACTTCGGAACAACGGATTGGAACACAATGTCTCGTGGAGTAGAATATTTCTAAATTGATTTTTTTCTTTTCTATGCATAAATGAAAAAAAAAATCAAGATTATACAAAAAGAACAGAAAGTGCAGAACACAATAAAACAGTTCTCATGCAACAATTTTTTAACCTTTAAACAGAAAATAAGCTCAACAGTGTAGAAATAAAAATCATACATACATTATGCCGTCTACGCACTCAAACATTCATCTGTGACATCACTTTTCTTTATCCCTTTTTCCTCATAAAACAACATTATGTGTTTAACACATGCTTATAAACATTGCTAAACTCAGCAAGAGCTATTATAGTGCCCCAACTTAATAAGTTGATAAAAAAGTAGTTGTCATATGGCCAGTTCACAAAGGAACTAAATATTCTTTTTTTTCTTTTTTTTTTTTTTCTTTTTTAATTTTTCCCCGCTATGAGATGCCTATATGCAGCTTTCTAGTAATACGAGGCATTTAAAATAAGCTGGTCATTTGGCTACTTAAAGGGCTTAGTGTTCATGTTACATCAGGAAAAACAAATTCACATTGGGAACTGCCAATCTGTTGAGAGGAAAGTCTGGATTTTGGGGTTATTGTTGATTACAATTTGGCTGTTGCTAAGGACTGAGTAGGTGCAGAGTAAATAAGGTGACACCGAGTTTGACTAAATGCTCCCAGAGCTTCACCTCAAACTTTAATTTGAATTTAAGAATAAATGTGTCAGAGCAGGTCAAATTGAACCATGTCCCACATTTTCCCTAAAATCTTAGCAGGTCGCAAGGGCATCAAAAGCCCTTTAATGACAGCAGATRCTCTCTTTTGGTGGGGGATGTATTTGTCTCTCCTGGGGTATTTGTCTCTCCTGGGCACCCCTYGTGCTCCCTGCAGCGAGGGAAGCTCAGGTGGAAATTCAGGTGAAGCTGCTCAGGTTGAGGAACCAAACTGGATCAGTTTTCCAGGAGGTGATTTAATTTAAATGACAGGAAAACCTGGAACACCTTAATGAGCAGAKTGGTGGGTGCAAGCATCATGTCAGGAAAAGGAAGTGAGCCTTTTTGTTGTTTTCTAAGGCAATTTCCAAARTTCTGAGCCTCAAAATCAAACCCCAGTTGGTGTTTGAGCTGCTGCAGCTCCTTTGGATGCAACATGACAAGGAGAAAACTTTGGGTAGCTCCACTTTTTCCAAATGACCACTTTTTGACGTGCTTTACAAACGTTCAGCTTTGTCATTTAAGGAAGGAAAACAGCTAAAGGACTCTCTGGAACCATAAAGTTTCTGCAAAGACAAAATAAAATTTGGTATTTCTTTCACACAGTTATTAATAACAKTTCTGTGCAACATTTGGTGTCTGTTACATTTATTTGGCCTATTCAAAGGAAACGAGGACAAAACAGCTGCAAAGAAAACCAACTTCTCTTTCACCACAGACACTTCAGATGCCGAAGCTGCTACATGTGCTTGGAATATCATGCAGGAGTTCATTTGTTCATTTAAATAGGATACATATTTATAGCTGARCTTGTCTCGCATTGGGCTTGGATGAGGAAAACCTGGAAGAACTCATTCGAAAACATTGTGGAGTACAGTGACAGCAACAAACAACCCCCAAAGGTTTTTTGGCCCGAGCAGTGTGTCTGGAAATGTACAAACACACAGGTACAGACACGCACACRCATCCCTAAAACCCCCAAATCTCAGCACCTGCCTCCTGTGCTTCCCTCCTGCCCAGATGTACCAGCTCTCCCAAGAACAATGTGTGACTTTCTCCACGTTTACTCATGAGTGTGACCCTGACCTGGCAGCCAGAAAAATCCTTCCTTTTGTGGTGGATGCTGGAGAAAGCCAAACTCACCCTGGACTGAGGGCAGGGGATGTGTTCCTAACGATGGAAATGAGGTTTCAGTGAGGTACCTGGCAAAAAGCACCGTTGTTGCTGCTGTCATTCCAAGTGCTGGAGGGCTCAGATCAGGTAGGGGTGGGATAAGAAAGACTCAGTCCTTGCCTCTGAGGAAAACCTCACACAGCCTGTTCCATCCTGGGGTCTGAGTGCCAGCACTGGCATCAGCAAGAAAACCAGGAGGGCAAATTTGCAGCAACCTCCTTTTCAGACTGATGTGTTGGGAATATTTCAGAGCCTAGAAAAAGGCTCCATGTGAAAGGAGAGATGGATATTGTGTGTTTCAAGGAGCACAAACCTCCACTGGACTTACTGGCTTCCTCTCTCCTGATGATGAACAATCCCTATCTTTGCACAACTGCTCACAGCCAGTGCCAGCAAACCACCAGATTCAGATTATTAAAAAGCTGTTCAAGCAATAAGTCTCTATGAAAGTTATCGAAACAGCAGGAAGAGAAACATTCCTAAGAAATTATTGCTTCTGGARTCTGAAATTGCCATCCATCAACAGCACATCAATCTCACTGGACTCCTTGAATCAACCCAACAGGGCCAAACCCAAGCTCTACCCTTCCCAGGGCTGAAATTAAAGCTTCTGTGCTCTCACATGAAACATCTTGACATGTGCAGCTGATTGACCACAGCCCTCGAGGGTCTGAGCACCAGCAGTACAGCAGAACAGGTTAAAATTGTTTATAGTATTGAACAACAGAGCACTGAACCACTAAACCTTGGTCCTACTGCACTGATGGTTCAATGGGATGAGTTTAACTAAACAGTAATGCAAACAAAAAAAAAAGATGCTGCTTGTCACCAGGAATAACAAAAAAAAAAGCAACTTCAAACTTGTCTTTCCACAAGCTCTGCAATAAACACATGAAACTGTACTACTCTGTCTTTAATCGTGGCAAAAAAAAAAAAAAAGATTGTATCAGAAGATAAGGTAAGGGGCAGATGAAGAAAGAAATCATCACCMAGTCTACCTTGAGAAGTGCTGGGGCTAGAAAGGAAACTCTCACATCCAAGGAAAAACCCTCGGGAGACCTCAGCGGGTGAAGCCAGTGCAGGGGTTTCCCAGGCTGGCCCAGGGACAGGGGATGCTTTGGCTGGGGCTCCCCAAGTTAATTCTTCTGGCAACACTACAAATGCTTCAGCGCGTTTACAATGAATAATTATTTCCTTTGCCTTTACCAGGGAGTGAAATCAGCTTCCTGCCATGGCAGTGCACGTATTCCTGCGTTATGAGCCCCATAAACAACTCCAAACACGGATTTTAACATCCAATTCTTAGAAATGAGGCCATGCCAAATGCTGTCTGTGACAAAACTGGCCCTGCCTTGCCTTTACTTGAAGTCTCTGGGTTTGAAATGAAAGGTCCTTCCTCCCTCCTTGCCTTTGCCTGGCTGAGAAAGCTCCATAAACATGGGTGAGCTCACCCCCAAAATGGTTTCAAGTTCTCTCTGTAGGGTATGAAGTCAGAGGGAGTTTCAGCCTCTCCTCCCTGTCTGCAGTTACTTGGTCAGTACGATGGTGCAGTGAAAGAGAATTTGGCTTAGAAAGTCCAATGTGGAGTAATGAAGATTTGATCCATGCTGGTCCATGGAACCCTTGGGAAAAGAGTGAGGCTGGCACTGGTCAGAAGATGCAGGTTTTTAAACTGTTGAAGAGTCTTTCCAGCAGTAGAGATTAAAATAAGGAGTACTTGACAGTTATTTAACCAAAAGCAGAATCTTCAAAGAGCTTCGAACTAAAATATTAAAGCCACTTTAAAATGTGTAACTCAGCATGTAACTTACATGAATGCCAGTTCTAGGGTGAAACACAACACTTGTCTCTTACACGTGAACATCACTAGAATCTTACACTAGAACATCACATTTAATGTAACTGAGATGTATAAATTCATGGCAGAATTTCAGTTAAAGAATTTCTCACAACTRCCTTCTTCAGTACGGTCTCACACTCTTCAGTAGTATCACTCCCCTGGCTGAACACAGTTCACAGTACATGTTCTAAATAAAAAAATATTCACCAAAGAAAAAAAAACCCTTCCTCAAGACACTTGGAAAAACAAATACAACCCCTAAGTCCTGTGTGATTACATGTACTTCAGTGCTCTGTGATGTCACCAGCCTAAAAACATCGTCACCCTTGACTGCAGAGGCCACAGGCATTGACTGGAAACCTTCATGGAACCCACGAATGCCACCTTCAAATACATCCAAACATCCATTTTTCAAATACATTGAGGATTCAAGTAATTAATTAAAAACTACTTTTCATTTTGAAATATAGCTTCTTTGTCTGAATGCCTGGATTGCAGCATGATTGACACAGGCATTTGCAAGTCTTGGAGGAGGAGGAGGAGTTTGAGGCAGCAGGAATCTCACACAGCGCTGTGTTTGCCTGTCCAGCACACGGATCGACAGCAGCCTGGGGGGCCCAAGCCAAAAYGATTCAACAGCATCACAAACACTACTTACAAATGACAAACGGGAGTTTGGTTTCAAAAGTTGCTTCAAATGGCTGCTGGATAATAATCCAAAGCTATTTTAAATCAAGTTAGCACAACTCTTTCAAGCTCTTTCCAGAAAAATATMTTTGCACTGCAGCTGTGTCCTGAATCACAAAAGGGGACATGGAGGATGTGTTGACAACATTGGTATGGCAGCTCGGAAGAGCTCCAGCCTACAGTTCCTCCAACACAGGGACTGGAACAGCAACATTTGAATTTTAAGGCCTAAAAACTGTATCTGACACGGATTTTTATACACCCAGACTATGCCATAAAGTGACAGAGGTAGGCCTTGGGTTCTCCTTGTTGTACTGACCCCGTGCCTTTACCTCGGCTGCTGCGTTCCCAGCCAGGAGGTTAAAGGATCATAAAAAGTGCAATTAATCAATGACTTCCTTTCCCTACGGAAGAGAATCTGCATACCCCCTCCCACGAAGCTGACCCCAGAGATGCCCTTTCTCCACAGCAGCTTCATCCAGAGATGATCAGGTTTAAATGCCAAGAAAACCCCCGAGTTCACCAGCATGTGAAACTCTCAGCTAAAAATTGTCACAGCGTATTCCAACGACATTCATAAGATGCAGCACTTGTGATAAAAAAACCTGTGAGTGCTGGTCACCTCTCCCAGCTGCTGCTCCTTCCATCTGCATCCAGCACCCAGTGTCACCCTCTCCTGGCGAGCAGCAGATCTGGGAGTGGTTGTGAATAGTATGACTAAAAGAATTCATGGCAGTTTCTTAGAAACCGCAGTAATTGCTTTTTTTTTTCTTGAAAATAATTGCAAATAAAAGGATTCTGTAGTAATTGCACTAACAAAAACATGAAGTCTAAATTAACGTAGCTGTCAGACCAGTAATATCATGCTCATGAAAAAAAAAATCAATGTCTAAGCATTTGATTCAGTTATTCCGCTAATGAAATCTGAAATGTTCAGACAAAAAAATGGCAAGAGACTATAGGTCAAGATAGCTTCCATTTTCCATTAGTTTAAAAACAGCCGAAAACTTAATTTTTCTAACTGCTAATTGTATACACTGTGAGTCTCATGCAGATTAATAAAACTTACTTGAAATCTAAATGTATTTTTAATAAAAAAGTGTTCAGAAATGACGTTTCTAAGTTGTAGAGAAAGCAATTAGCATCAGAGCGACCTGCTCAAACCTAGAGGAAGGACTACAGAATTTAATTTACATTTTTGCATGAAACTGCCTTTTCTTCTGCAAATTTTAGCTACAAGTAGTGAAGGTCCTAATTTGCTTTCCTGGAAAATAAAACCCCGCAACAAAAGTTCTTGATCCTGCACCTGCACTCCTTGGAATGTGGGTGAACGAGCAGCAGCGGCCTCACACGGCTGATTCGCCCTCCGGCTCCGCCGCCGCGGCTCCTTTGCGCGTCAGCTTCAGCACCGTCGGCTTCTCCATGCCTGCACCGCTGCCCTCGGCCGTCTCTGGAGGACCCAGTCCCTTCTGCTCTTCCTTTGGCTCTTCGTTGACTTCGGGGTAAATCACCAAGAAAGTCGCTGTCAAAAAACCCAGGAAGGATCCGACCGAAGCCACCATGGGGATGACTCTGACCGTGCCCACCAGGTCCACCACGCCGCCGAGCGCGGAGGCCACGAGGATCTGGGAGATGTAAACCTGACACGACAGGATGGCGCAGTCGATGCCGAATCCCCGCTTCGAGTTCCCAGGGCTGTGGTGAATGTACTGGAAAAAGACAAGAAATGTGGTAAAACAATGGATAAAAGCAATAYTTAAACACCAGAACTTGCCCTGAATTTCTCAGCCCTGTAGTCAACTTTACATCATCTTTGTGCATTCACCATGGCACAACTCCAGAGCAAAAATCTCCTTATCTGCTCATCTCAGCAGCACAAGGCAGGTATTGACTGGGTCACTTCTAGTCCAAATCAGCTCCAAGATTAGGTTTTGTAAAAACAATTTTACATTAAATATTTGGTGTTACATTAAGTATTATTTTTATGATCATAAAAAGGAATCCCCCTCTCAATCACAATGCAGGGACTTGTAATAAATGATCCGCCTGTAATTTGTAATCCAAATGCAACAGTGGAATTACTCTGGTGGGAAGTAAATGCGTCCTCGTTTCCAGAAGAATTGGTTTCTCTTATGTGTCTCCAAAATTACAGCTGCATTTCCAGACTCACCTCAAAATCTAAGACCCTGTAAAACCTGAGTAATGCTACCATACCACATCCAAGACAGGAGTAGCAAACAGATATATTGTAAATACTCCAATAATAACTTGATTTCTCTTCATATACCATATGTACCCAAATTATTCTGTATCTCAGCACAGGGAAAAGCAATCATGATCCCCTCTGAGCCAACATGATGCCAAGAGCATCTGATTTCAGCACCAGCTCCTGCTATTTCCTCTCCATTCAAGCTTTGGCACACATCCCAACAAAGCAGGTATCTTCAATAATGGGATTTAACAAATCCCTTTTGCTGCCATAATCTTCAGAGAAACATGAATGCTCTGCCTCCATTCAAATTTATACTCCAAATATTCCACATACCTGTTTAATCTCATGGTATTGTCCCAAAAGTGCGTAGGGGCAGTAGGAGATGCTCATAGAGACTATTCCCATCGTGCTGATCATTATCATGGTGACGTACACGTTRGGGAACATGGCCATCACTGCAGTGCCAAGGGAAAAACCCAACGTGCCCAGGATGTAGATCACTTTTATGCTAAGGTCGTAGTTGTCCAAGTATTTCTGCAACAAGGCTGTAGAGATAAAGAATAAAACAGGAATCACAGAACAGTTTGGGTTGGAAGGAGCCTTAAAGATCATCCAGTTCCAAGCACTCCTGCCATGGRCAGGGACACCTTCCATTATCCCATGTTACTCCAAGCAACATCCAACCTGGCCTTGRACACTTCCAGGGATGGGGCAGCCACAGCTTCTCTGRGCAGCCTGAGCCAGGACTTCTCCACCCCCATCAAAGAATTTTTTCCTAATATCCAATCTATACCTACTTTATTAGGTTTGAAATAATTTCCCCTTAAATACCCGTTTACTCAGTTTTAGAGGATTGATGTGGGCATGACAGCTCGATATCCTATTTAGGATGTGGATGTTCAGTGCACATTTGGGCTGTCTGAGCAACGCAGCACAGCCCTCAATGGAAAAGGGATGTGCTCCTGCTTCACAAAGAGCCTGTCCCCACAGTACTGAGCTGTGCAGACATACCTGCAACGTCCTGCAAATGGCAGAATTTAAGTTTGGCAAAAACTCTCMATTTCAGAGTCTATTCCAAGCCCAAATTATCTGCAGAATGGCTTTTAGAATACATATTTATAATTTTGATTTTAAAACAGTCTTTGCAAAAACCCTCTTGCATATGCTTAAATCTTCTACCAAGCATGATTTTAGTTTCCTGAAGGCTTGTTAAATGCCACTCAATATCCTTTGATCTCATTTTGTGCTTTATGCCACTTAACCATCTGTACATATTTTCACCTCTACATTTGGAAGAACTTTTCAATACTGATTCTTAAAGAAACCCTTCCCCTTATGACCACATGAAATGTTTTTCCAAAACAGCCTTTAACCCAAACAAGAAAGTGGGTATGAATTGAGGTAAAACCATTTCAGGAAGGCTAGGAGCTGGACTCAATGATCCTTGTGGRTCACTTCCATCTCAGAATATTCAGTGATTCTCCTTTTACCTTAGAAAWATGTTCAGGAGGTGCATTCCACTATGTGATAGCACAGTCTCTTACCTGAACAAACGGCAGCAGTAGCAGCATAAATCACCAGCCCCCAGCATCCCATCTGAACTCCAGCATTGTAGGCGTGCAGCTCAGTCGAGTTTGAAGGGGCCTGCAACAGACACAAACACAAAAAACCATTTTGTTGTCCTRAGCACATCTCAGAAATGAGGGACTCTAAGCAGATCAGCCCATGGGAACTGCTCTCCTACCTTTGGATCGCCCTGGAAGATGACTTGTCCCATGAAATCCGTATAGAACACAGCTTCAGCAATGATGGAAAACCAAGTCAGGAGGTGACAGACACACAACCTCAGCAGCTCCTTGGGCATCTTTAGCATGGACAACCACAAGAGTCTGACGGTGGTTTCGGTCTCGCCCTCTTCGCTCTCCGTGTCCCCGCTGGAGTTGGTGGTGCCGCTCTGGTTGCGGTGCCTGCAGCGCTGCCGTTGTCGTTTCTGCATGTCRTAGATGTCGTTCATGCTGCGCGAGGATTTGATCAGGACGATGGCGTTGGCCCGGCGGAAGCGGTAGCGGTGCGAGCCRATCTTGCCGTAGTACGAGAAGGTGTACGATGGCTGCCGGTAGAACATGTGCCTCCGCCTCCGCATGGAGTTGGAAGTGCTGGATTGCTTCATGCCTATTCTGGCGTGTCCGTTGAGGAACTCTTTTGGTAGGGAGCCGTTGATGTTTGGGACTTTATCTTCATTTAAACGATTATCAAGCAACATGTCCTCCTCCTTCTCATTTTCCCTGAGGAAAGCGGACAGGTGGTTGAGTTTGGACTTCATGATCTCCTGGCTCGTGTTGTGGGGAGTGTTTGGATATGAAGCATCCTGAAAAATGGAGGGCTCGATGTCATGCAGGAAAAGCAGCTCCGATTCAATTTCCARTGTGGCATCTGGCATGTGTAGAACTGAGTCACTCTTGCTTCTCTGTATGTTCACCTCAAGGAACTCCATACTGAGGTCATTCTCTGACTGAACCTCATCATGGAACATGGAAGCTCCATAGGGCTCTTCCTCACTAATTACATTCAGTCGATTCAGAGGGGGGAGACTGCCACTGAATTTGGCACTGGAAAGTGTGTCTCCTTCGTCATCAATCCTGTCCTGCTGAGGGTTATATTGCTCTTCTTCAATGCTAAAAAGGTGGAGAGCAACGGAGACAGAGAAAATAATGGCTGCAAAGAAGAAAAGGACTTGCTCTTGAGATTTAAAAATGCTACCCAAGAAGGTCTGTGTCCAGTCCAGCCCTCCTAACATATAACCAATTGCTCCTCCAAGACCTGTGCAACAGAAAAAAATGAGAAGTGAGTTCAGGAAAAATCAATTCAGCCACAATCTGGTCTTCAGGAAAACTGGACAGCTGCCAAAAACATCTCAGCTAACTCCATACCAGCTGAAAATGCGTGGATGTTCAGGGCCATGTCTTGTTCTTCACTGTCCACCACATCCAACAGGTAGGCCCGAATTGGCCCTTCGGTTGCATCGGCGCAGAAATCCAACACCACAACCCCRAGCACCGTGAGAACTATTCCAATGGGCTGCTTGTCTGGGACATCACCAATAGCCAGACCTGGGGAGAAGCAGGAGAGGAATCTGAGCATCTCATTAAAAAAGGGAGAACACCTCAGAGCAAGCTGAACACTTTTACAGAGATATGCCCAACAACCTCACTGCAAACATTCCTTTATGGAGCAAAATGGCAATTTCAACTCTTTGGCATAGCATCGTGGAAGGTCTGGGACAAACATTACATTTTATGTTTGCAAGACTGACATTTATCAAAATGTTACTTTATAAAGCATTTCTTAAACCTCTGGGAGCAMTGGGTATTATTTCATATTCCTCCCATGTATTTTCCTTCAGATGCTGAAGGCTGTTTTTATAAAAGACAGCCATGGTGGGAGAGGGGAGCATCCAAAATGAATTTCATCTGTCAGTAACATCCACAGGTAACTGCACTGCTGGCAGCATTCCTGACATGATGCTTAACATGCAGTGGTTGCAGTACACCAGGATAAAGTGAAATTTAACCCCTTCACCTCTCTTTGCTTTTCTTAGATCTCTTTTCTTTTCTAGATCATTTTTATAAGCAAAACCTTTAAGGATGAAGCAACATAAAAGTATTTTGCATTGCAAAAAGCATCAGTCAGCTTCTGTTGACAGCATGGGATGAAATGCTTTTTGTCTGCAGAGTAGAAAGGCAGCATTAGCACAGAGCTGGGTAATTTGTCATGAGATGAACCAGTGACAAAAGCACGAATTACTCGAATCACAGAGATTTAGAAGTTACATATCCGAGGCTGATAAAACCATTAGTGCAACTGATTAAAATGTCTTTGGAAGGAGATGAAGTGGCTAAGCCACCAAAAATCATCTAAATCTCAAGTGCTGATTCCTGCATATTGAATCCTCATTTATACCAAGCCCTTTAAAGGCTAAAGAAGTTTGTAAGTGCTCCAGACTCTGCTGAACCCTACAGCAGAAAACACCAACGGTGCTTTAGTGTTGCTGAAAACCTGAACAGGGCAGGAGAGAATAGGAGCAGAGTAAATTGCTCTCCTGGGAAATGGCTATATCATGATTGGGATTACCAAACCTCTGTGCTTCTGGTTCCCCTCCCTATGACTCCTACTGCCAGATGCCACCTTATAGAAGAGGGTCTGGTACAGTTTTTGAAGCATCTCTGTGGTCCCAAATTGCAATTAAGRTTGCAAGTAACTGGATACTGAGGATAGGAAAGAGAAGAAGAAAAATYGATGATATTTTGTGCTGACTTATTAGAAGGCTTCAAAATAAGCCTAGAAACTGAGCATGAGGCTTCCTTGTCAGCATCAATGGCTCCTGACCTGAACTACGGCATAGAACTGAGAGCTTATCACTTAAAATCCTGTTAGAGGGCTGTAGTCTAACATCTTGCAGACATCTGGAGAAAGAGAAATAAGCCTTCAAGACACAACAACTAAGTACAATTGATGCCATATGATAGCAATTCAAATAAATTATACTTATTGTTTGGATAAATTAAAAAAGCATAACTCAAATGTCATTWATCTGAATAGTTTGTCCACTGCAGTTTGCAGAAAATTGAAGCCAATCATATGGCATTCCAGTCTGGCTTTAAGAAGCTGAGCCAAGGTAACATTCCACTCATTTCCCTCCATTAGTAAACCTGTTTCACAATAGAGCTGCATCTGACCCAAAAAAGAGAGCCAAGAGGATGTTATTAGGTGCTAAGTTCCTTTCATTTGCATCAGTCCAACCATTTTGTAAACATTTCCAAAAACGTACTTGCTGTCACCTCTCCTACAATAAATTTACAAAGAGATTGTAGATTAAATTCGTAGTAAACTATATTCAAGGGAAACTATTTTTACCAGCTTTGATGGGGGCTCAGGAAAAATTATTTTCCCACATAGTTTTTGATAAACAAATATTAACTGTGTTCTGGACTTTTTCAATACCAGGTCTAAGAAAAGCACAAGAAAAAGTGAAAAGATAATTTTTGAAATAATGCTGGAAACAGGATGTGTTGCCAGATATGCATTAAAGGGAAAATGGATCACAACAGGAAACATTTCCCTGTGAACAGGTTGCTACAATTTTCCCATGTCAAGGATTGACCAAATTCGTCTCAGCGACTGCAAACATTATGCTGGCAACCATTGTATTAATAACACTGTTATTAATACCAGTTACAGCTATGATTGCACAATGCTCAGCACAGCACCGTAACTTGAGAGTACAAACAATAACAAGCAAGATGAACCAAGCTCAAGTGCAGGGCTGTGGAGATTTCTAATGATTTTAACATTACACCTRAGTTAAACCAACTGCAGAGCATTATCTTTACTTCCTATATTAAAATCTCAAAGCAGGTGCATGAGCAGGGGATACATGCAGGGGATTTCCTTGTTTTTTACCTATCACAGAGCCATTAAGGAAAAGTGCAACTCCAAAGAGGACACCRATGCAGAGAGCAAGGATGAAGGGCCGCCGGCGGCCCCAGCTCAGCGTGCAGCGGTCACTGGCCGAACCTATGAGCGGAGTGAAGATCAAGCCCAGGATGGGGCTGAGGAACCAAGTGAGGCTGTAGTATTGTTCAGGAAGACCTAAAACAAAGACAAAAATGATGGAAAGGTTATGTGGTACACACCAAACATTTCACTATATACATAAAATTTTBTTACACTGTTGAAAATTGTAAATTGAGGGTAATTTACTTACAATGAATTCTCTCCCAAATTAAAAACCATTTAAGATTCTTTAGCGATGGCTAAAAGAACAGCTAAGGAAAGCACAGATCATTTACCTTTCAAATACCTGGTAACAGGAGTATTTCTGCTACTGAATCCTCTATCCTTTTGTGGAATATAAAACCAAAGATTTTGGGGTACTTGGAAGCTGCCTGGCTGTCATGTACAGATTCCCTGCTCAACAAAGCTTTAMGACTCAAAATAGAGCACTTATAATGGTGCTGTTTTCATCTAAGACCACACCCATAAAAGAGTTTTTGAAGATTTAATGGACTGAAAGTGAAGGACAGAATTTGAATGTTTTATGAAATGCCCCATTTCTAAACACAAAAATGTTTACTTACAAAAATGAAACCCAAACTATAAAAACAAAAATTAGCAATTATTCATCAACTYAGATAAATTTAAGGTTTGCTCATCCCCACTATCTTTGTTTTCTTTAAAAACAGAGATGACTATTCATAGRATCAGCTGGAAAAAGTTCAAGTTTTCTACATAGCTCTTACTAGAAAACAACAACTTGCTAGAAATAATTTCTGCAGAAGAAAGGGCTCCCAAGCCCTGAGCAGTGCTCCCAACGACTGAGCAGTGGCCTGCAGATGGCAGGCTGGCCACAGCAGCAACCATGTGGGCTCGTTTGGGATCTGCCTCCTGCCCGTTTATCAGCACAGGGCAGGTAACCACTCAGAYATGGTTCTTAGAAAAGCGTTAAAAACAAAACAATCTATTTCTTGCAATCCAAGTGATGCCAAGACAGAAAAACTCAGTGTCTTTATCCCAGGAAGGAAAACAATTTATTATTCAAATCCATATATAGTGAGTGCAAGTAGCATTTGACCTTTGCTGGCAAGATCAACCTGTACCTTGTGCTCCCTGTCCAGCACACTGAGGCATCCATTACCAAGCAGGATTACACCAATCCCTGCCCAAAATAGCCTCTGATGCAAATTTGGAAGTCTAATCTGCTGCTGTTTAAAGTAGCACCAAATCGTGACTAGGAACACTGACTTCTTCAACAAGACAGATGAGATTTTCCGAAGARTGTTGCACACTTTGTGGTGATCTAGACATGACAGGAAAATAAGCTAATTTTTGGCATAAATAACCAATTTCATCATCAGGATTCAAAATCCAGGTCTGAGGCCAAGGTCTGTGTGATTTGACTCAATTTTGGCTAATGGACAAGCTAACAGTGACAGCTGCCCTGATGAGTCCAGAGTTACTGGAAGAGACCTGCCCCTACTGAAACGTCCCAAGCTGTGTTTTTGGACCAAACATGCCATGAACCTCCTGCCACAGGGAATGCTGTCATGGTTCAACCACCTTTCCCTGTTACAGGCAGCTGCAGGACTGTTCAGAGGCCAGTACCCCACATCAGTATTCACCATGCAACAGACTGCTTTTGCACAGGATTTAAATCTTTAGGAAAGGGCTGTGTTTGTACAGGTGTCACTGTGTTCACCTCATGATTCAAATCACTGTTTCCTACTCAGCTTTTCCTACTGTTTGGTGATGTCTTGGCTGACACGGAAATATTAGCTAAGACATATCTGTATGTGTGTGTGCATATTAGATCTAAAGCTCTTGTTCAAGAAGCTGCAGGTCCCTCCAGATCCCATCCAGACTGGCACTGGCAGCTTCCCTTCATGAACACTAYCCTCATCAAAGCTGCAAGTTAGGCAGCCAGCAATTCAAGCAGAAGTCCAAGGAAAACTTCCATCTCCCTGTGGTTTTAACTCTCCTTAACTTCACCAAGTTCAACAGCTTCCCAAGCACACAAGCAGGTTCAGACATCTCATGTTTTACTGGCATSTCACCTGCTCCAAGATGCTGCCACTCATCAGTGCCTCAGCTGGCTTAAAAAATAATYAATGATGGGGAAGAAGAAACATTTGGTTCAAGGCAAGTAAAACTAAAGGCTGGGCATGCTGCATTTAGGATGAATGATTTTTCTGCAGGACACAGAATAACTGGCAGCATGTAAATACTCATCCCATTTTGCCTCCACACAGCCATCCTGGGAGCAGTGGTTAAGCACCCAAGGTTGCTACTGTGTGAGGCCAAGTCACTGCAGAGAGTGTTTCAAACAGAGTGAGAGGCTGCAGCTTAACCAATGTCATGGATCTTTACTGCAACRATCACCAACATCTGGAACAACTCAATGGCATTTAACTGCACAAGGGCTGTGTGTTGAAAGCAGATATTTCTTTTCTGAATTATGTTGTGACTTGTGAATTATGAACTGGGAYGTCTCAGTCGAGCTCATCCATCAGTAAACACTTGCGAGATGCTTGGAAGGYTTTGCAGTAAATCATACAGAGACTTTAAATAAACATAGGGGTGAAGGCTGGCAAGAACTCTGTCATCAACATAACAAGCCTCAYCAAACCTATTCTTATATGAATAAACAAATTGGTTTAAGAAAATGGACACAGTTAAGAGATTCTCTTTTGAAATTCCAATATCCATTGAGRCAACCAACTTGTTTAATGGAGACTGTGGGCAGAAACAACAAGGAAACAGTGGTACATCAGGGACAAGCAGTAGGAGTGCAAATCAGGGACACCAGGGGCTGGCACAGCTCACTGCCCGTCTGTCCTTAAGGCTACCACTCTGCCTCCACTCTGTGTATAAAAATCTTAAAAAAAAAGYTCCAGAAACACAAACCATTTGAAATGACAATTGGAAATTACTTCTGCAGAGAACTAAAAACTGTTTACAAGTATTTCTCCTTCAGCTGTAAAACCTGCACATTTCTAAACTGGACAGATAGGTATTTTTTATGCTTTATAGCCACAGTTAACTGCCATGAAAATGTCCTAAAATTATTAAAAAACACWCAGTACTTGACTTCCAAGTACTTTCAAGATCAACTTTGCATGTAATAACTCAAAACCAGATCAAGGTCTGGTTTGATTTTACAGGTCAGTAAAAGAAAGGAAAAAAGGTTTTTTATCCAATCTTTGATACATGACTAAAATTAAGGAGTTTTATCTTTTCATAAGAGTCAGAGCAGAGAGACTGAAATGCTTTMTTGGGAAGAATTTATTTTTACTTATTGCAGAGGGTGATCTTCCTAACATCTAAGYATTATAAATAAAAGCCTAAATCTAAATATTTACAGTGAAAATGGCTTACTTTGCAGAAGACATGAATCTCAGTGATTTCAGAACAGAGTCATAGATGTAACTTTTATGGAAGGGTAAAAAGGACATTCAAAACCCCAAGAACATTATGTTTCAAGATCCTTCTTAAGAAAAACCACTTTGATATTTTTTTATCGAACTACTCATTAGCAGCCAAAATATCTATCTTTAGAAAAAGAGGCCATGATAAAAATCTATACAAGAATTAATAGCCACATGCCAAGAAAAATGGAAGAATTTCTAAAAAGCTTTGAGTGCTCCCCCAAGTAAACAGGAAAGGGATAACTTTCAAGTGAAACACGAGCCATTCCCACAGATTTTGTAATGGCAGCAATCACAGACATGAGCACAACCTGCTTTTTCTCTTGCTGGAGAAACCATGCCATGGGATTGCTTCCATAAGCTAAGTGGCCCTGATAAATTGCATTCCAAGTGTAAGCCAGAAGTTTATAAAATCATCATGTGTGTTTTGCATACAGTTATGCAGAATTCCAAACTGTTGCCATTTATTAAGTGACGTGTATGGCTTTACTGTAAATATGCARACTGTGAGATTGTCACATTGGAATTTAGTTGGTTATTCAAGTAGAAAACAACTGAGTGGGATAGAGAAGACTCCTGGTGGGAAGTAGGTGCACACAGAAACTAAATTAAAGCAGTACAGAAAAAAATTAATCTGCTGTTGGAAGAATTCTCCCCTGAACCAGGCAGACTCCTCACTTGAGCACTGAATGAGCAGACAGAGCAATCACTGTAGCAATGGGTAGTAAAGTGAGTTATCCAGAGCTTCCTTTTGTGTTTCCTTTCCATATCTAAAAGTTGAGATAAAAAAGCTGTCTGCCCAGTGAACCAAAACTTTCAGAGTTCTGGTGCCCAGAAGTGTCTTCTCTCTCTGTAAAGATTTAGGTGTCACCTCTGATATCTGTGCTCAGCACTGCTGCTGAGAAATCAGACTATTGCAGAACTCACAGCCGTGTTCTACCAGGAATTTTCCAGGAAGGAGCTTTCTGAGGCACTGAGCACGACATCCACTCTGCTATGGAGTGAGACTTCAGAAGGTACCTCACAGATGCTCTTTCTAAAATTCACCCTTCACGCTGGCAGTCTGCAGGACCTTCATCATTTCAATGATAACTTTAGTGCTAGACACTTTCATATAAATGTGAATGTTCCAGACAGACAAGGAGAACTCCAACCCCAAAATACTTTTCTTCCCTTSAAAGAGGGTTGTTCTGGTTTTAGTATCTTGAATGTCTGTATACATGATATATGTGTTTAAGTTGGCGTGCATGATTTGGCAGGAGAAGCAAAAAAAAAAAAATAAAAAAACCCAAACTGAAAGTTGAAATACTTTAAGAAATTGTGTATGTGTGTATATGTGTGTGTGTGTGCGCATATAAACAACAGAAACTCCTCAAAGTCTCCCAGAGGTTTTCTGCCTCACAAGAATGAGTTCCAATAATGAAACTTGCTAAAAATTCTGTCTGCAAGGGTGTTAGAAAGCTGAGGAAGGTAATTACATATCCTAATGGTTCTTTTCTCTGTATATGTACCATGCTAAACCTACAGAATGTCACCATTTTATGCAATATTTTTAAATGGGAAGACAGTTCAGAAGGCAGCTGAGGCAGGAAAGACAACAATAAGCAGAAATGTGGAGACAGAGGGAATGTTTCAACACCAAGAAGTTCCTCCTGACRCCCCCATTCA